GATGGAGGGATAGTGGGAGTCTGATGCCTCTTGATCCCATTTCACAGAAAGAACCATGTGATCCTAAATGTGTAGACAGACAGCTTATTTAGTCTTCATACTTCAGTTATTCATTTATTATGTAAAGTAACTTCCTGCCACTTTTATTGAAAATAGATTCTTTTCTTATACAATATATCCTGCTTACAGTTTCCCCTCCCTCCACTCCTCCCAGTCCCTCCCAACCTTTGTTTTAATCTTTGGCTTTTCTTTTCAACTGGCCCCCAGTAGCATTATTTATATAACTGTCAGTTTGGACCTCCTCCATCGGTGACCTTCAGTTCTGGCTGTTCATCAGAATCCCTTGAGGGTGGAACTTAAAATATATTTCCTGACCGGCCTCAGAGACTGTTTCCCTAGGGCCAAGTCAGCAGAAGTGTGTTTGGAGAGTTTATGCTACCCTCTGTGGAAGGCCAGGCCCACATGCCAGGTTACAGCTACTGAAAACCCAAGGAAATGATACTCCATTGGGGAAACAAATCTTTCTTTCTCTTTAGTGTTTGTTCTCCAGTTGTCTCTTCATGTTCTGAGAACCTCCATCTACGCCATCCACTGGGACAAGCCTGTTGCTGGGCAGGGAGCACACTCACATCTTGAGCTTTCAGTTGAGGTCCAGGAAACTCAGGGAGTGTTTTGTTTGAAAAACACAGAGGCGGCCTTGGAGATTCCTCAGCAGGGGGCTGCTGTGAGATGCTCAACCAGAACTACCAGATGAGGGTGAGGAAGTCAAGGAATAAGAGGATGAGGGTGAAATTAACTCTGGTTTAATCTTGAACCAAGAATTGTATTTCAACCCAAGAGCAAACTGAGCTGCCATCTAAAGGGGAAAGCCAGGAGGCTGTGTATAAGACATCTTCACACTGTTTCTCCCCCACTCTCCTTCGGTTGTATGCCATGACTATAGTTTTAAATAAAGGAAACTACAGATCATCTGCATTAGTGGACTTCAACTCTGGGTGTGCATTAGACTCACCCAGTGGGGTGTGCTTCTCTGCATGGCTTCAGGCACAGTGACTAAGCGCAGTGACGACTTCTCTCATGTGATTGCAGAGATGGCTCCCTGCAGCCGATGGCTAATTGTGCAGGCTCATAGATGGCATCTTTGATGCTGTCTTATCCAGTAAAACTCGGTTCCTCGGAACCGGCTCTGGGTACAAGTCTCATGACTTGAGGAAAATAGACAGCAGTATTCTTCCATGTGGACTCTTTGAGTCTGATCAGAAAAGAAAGGCGCATGGACAGAGAGAATCAAGGGTGCAGGAGTAAGAATGATGAAGGCCCTCTGCCTTCCCCTTGTCCCCGAGTCCCATGATCCTATCTGTCATTCTCCATCTTCAAATTCATAATGAATGCTTCTTTAGCTAAGGTGGCTGAGCTGGCTTTTGTTACTTATAGTCATAAGCTCTAATGAGCATGGTTATTATGTGTGAGTTACAACACTTATCACCCTCACAGAGTAAGAAACCAGTGTCTTCTAAACAAGGAAGCAAATAAACGCAGACAAATACAACCAGGAGGCGGGAGAACCAAGTCTGAATCTTTCTCTAGACTCTCACAAACACAGGGAACCATAGGCTTCCAATTTTAAGTCATTAAAAGTTACCCCATTCCATTGCAAACGAGCTCAACAACCCCGGGGAATGTCTTTTATTTAACATCCTTAACTGTAAGACCCTGTGGTCTATGAAAGGGTGAGGGTGGAGCCAGTCACTCTCTTGAGGCTCCTTTCAACATGAAAAGCTGTACTAACATGGTACTTGGAACCATAGGAGTTTGCTTGGGAATTATTCTTGAACATTTATCATGCATATCAGATGGAGTGTACAAACAAGCATAAAAGTGTGTACCACATGCTGGTGAATGATGAGTAACACTGAAATGTTTTCAGATTGAAATGCTCCTATTTTTAAGGCTGGGGAGATGGGAAAGTTGCTAAAGTATTTCCAGTGCAAACATGAGGATCTGAGTTTGGAACACAAACATGATAAATACCGACTTGGCCTAGCTTTTCAAGCTGTGTTGACTTTTCTTAAAGGCAAATAACCTTAGAACCAAACATACTCAACTTCTACCTACTTATGTGAACAAATATAAAGTCATTTGGCAACGTTTATTAACAGTCACTGAAACACCTGACATTGTGTCAACCATTCTGCCTTTGTGGAGTGAGTAGAAGATATGAATCTCTGGGATTGTCAGACTTAGTCTGGGTTGACCAGGATACATAGTCAACATCACGGTACGGTGAGTATCTCAGCGGGTTATGTAGTGTCAAAAACAAAATCCTGAGCAGTCGGGGAGGGAGGGTGGCGGTGTAGTACACTGGAAGGCACCGTTGAAGAAGCAATGAGTGCAGGTCAGGGAACAGGGGTAGGGTGGAGGGCAGGAGAAGCAGATTCTTCTGGCAGTGGAGAAGCATCCTGAAATATGGGTTTGAGAGCCTGTGACCAGTGCTCAAGAATCTGCAGGTCTACACTGTAGTCAAAGCCAATCCTTCCAGGGCATTTGTGCATTAATCCCAGAGGTTTGTGGGAGCTGAAAGTGAACCAGGGCTGTTGAGACTTTAGTATTTAAATATTAATCAGAAACAATGGAGAGAACCAATGATACCAGACTGATGGAATCTTAGAAAAATAAACAAAATGTATCACAAATGAAGTTAAGGCATCTTACCTGGGAGAATGGGTGGCTGAAATTAGGAAGAAAATAATAAATAATGAGAACTGTGCTGTTGCTGAACACCACGTGCTTCAAACTTTATCCACAGACTCATTTCTTTACATCACACTCCATGAGGTAAATTTTATTATCTCTCTTAGAGAGGTCCTCTCCATCCTGTCCTTCACCTAATCCCTCTTCTGCATTAACAATCTTAGACAGTCTGTAGTTCACTTATAAAAAAGTCTCCTCATGGAATGAACACTCTTTAAGAGCAAAGGCTTTGTTTTGCGTGTGGTTGTGTTTTCAGCCGTTCATTAGAAAGACATCCTAGGAACACAATGATCAGAAATGAATGGAGAGCAGAAACCAAGGCACAGATAACTTGCAACAGACTAAGTAGCCAGGTGATGTCAGAGCCAAGGAAAAAGATGTGAGTAGCCAAGAAGGCGTTAGAGAGGGGACCGCGAGCTCGCAGAAGGCACAGAAAGCAGAGGGACTGGATTTTCATCCTATTAAGGTGCATGAGCCAGCTTTCTGGATCCCCTCACCTGTGGTCAGACACCTTGCTCACCCCTGATAAAGTGGGCAGGGGCTTGGTCCTGCCTCACCTGGGTGTATCAGGCTTAGCTGTTTTCCCCCTGGAGAACTTACCCTCTTGGAGGAGGGGAGGAGGGACAGAGGGGAAGATGGGGGGATGGGGGGAGGAGGGATGAGAGGAGATCTGTGGTTGTTATGTAAAGTGAATACAAAAAAATTTAAAATAATATTCTACAACAGAAAAAAAAGCCAGAGAATTCACAAAACAAGAACTACAAATGGCTGAAAGACATTTAAAGAAATGCTCAACATCCTTAATCATCAGAGAAATGCAAATCAAAATGACTCTGAGATACCACCTTACACCTGTTAGAATGGCTACGATCAAAAACACCAATGACAACCAATGTTGGAGAGGATGTGGAGCAAAGGGAACACTCCTCCACTGTTGGTGAGAATGTAAACTTGTACAACCACTGTGGAAATCAGTATGGCAGTTTCTCAGAAAATTAGGAAT